GTGGGATTATCACCCCCCCCGGGGTTCGGCCTGGCTACTCGCGGTGGCCAGGTCGCGGCTCTTGCCTACAGTCCCCGTCAGAGTCGGCCTCGTCAGGAAGAGGAAGGCTCCTCCGCACTGTGCGCCCGGCTGTGACTCTGCTTGGACATCCCTCCCCCCTGCTCTGCCCCGCTGGCGCCAGGCTGGGGCATTGGGGCCAGCCCTGCCTGCCAGAGAGTGCCCCCATGCTGAGCCCCCCACCCCGGCACGATAGAGGGGCAGCACCGATCCCAGCGCCGGCTCACGACATTTTGGCACCTGAGGCGGGGAGCTCGAATGATGCCCCTTTTCTCCTGCCGGCCTGTCATGTCTCTTGTGCCCCCCTTCCTCCAGCACCGCACTGCCCCAGCTCTGGGCATCTAGGGCAGAGAGAATGCACCTGCCCCAGCAGCAGACACCATGTTCTACACTCGGGGGCCTCGTGTTGCCCCCCAGTCCGGCTCCGGAGTTCGCCTCATGGTAAGGCCAGCCCTGCCCGATCCCCATGGTGAGGCCCCCGGGCGGATCCCCGGGCCTGCTGCGGGACCGTTTCTGCTGGCAGGGTGCCCCAAAAGCGTGGCACTGACGGCCTTTCCTTCCCCCCTCACTCCGGGGACCCCGGCTTGGGCCAGGGAAAGCCGTTCCAAACCGGCCCCGTCCAACGGAGCTTGGCCGCGGCCGCCCGGCGTGGGGCGTATATACCCCAGCCTCTGCTGGGCCTGTGGTACGGCCCGTAATCTCCTCCCTGCGTCTATTCCAAGACTGGGGATTTTCAATTAAGAATACTTACGGCCTTCCTCGCCTCTCCCTGCTATTTCCCTAATGAGCAGTGGCTGGTAACAAATTAATAGCCCTGCCAGTGTGACCCTAATCCTGCTGTGTATGATAATTAAGAGAGGGAGGCCATGCTTGTGTGTAATTACTCAACACGTGGCCAGGGCCAGGCTGGGGATTAGCCAGACCCTTTAGTTTAACTTTTCTCCCTCTGGACTCATTACCGCAGCCCCCATGCCCACCGGGGGCGGGGGATCATTCAATCCATCCCCAGGCCCAGGCCCCCTTGGCCGGCCCGGCGGCCGCTCTGTGAGGTGGCAAATCCTGTTGCTTTGTTTTGTCTTGGCCGGGCATTAATGGTAATTAAAAGTGCATTGTTGTCCCGGCTTCCCGGATTGATGACAATGGAATATTCCTTTCGCCAGGCCTCATTTTAAGTGCATTAGCTAAAGGGGATAGGAGAGCAAGAGTCCAATTAAACAGTGGGCTGAGAGCTGGCAGGCAGCGGGGAGGTACAAAGGAGCCGGGCGGTGGAGCCAGGACTCCTGGGTTCCAGCTCCGGGTGGGGAGTGGCGCCTGGTGGGTAGAGCAGGGAGGGCTGGGAACCTGGAGACTTGGGTGGGTTTTTTTGGTCCAGGAAGGGAGTAGGGTCTAGTGGTGAGTGCAGCGGGCTGGGCACCAGGACACCTGGGCTCTCTCCCAGCTCTGGGAGGGAAGTGGAGTGGAGCGGTTAGAGCCAAGACCAGCGTGCACCACTCCATGGGGTGATATTTGGGGAGGTGAATCCCACGCTGCCCCCACCCCAGATCGGAAGCAGATGGATGGAGCCTTCTAATCACTCATTTCAAAGAGTCTCTGTGGCCAACCCGCCCCCCGTTGCCCCCCACACCCTGCCCCAGGGGAGGGCAGCAGATCCCCCTTGGGCTGGGTCTGATCGAGCAGCCGCGTGGTGCCTGACTTCAGCGCGGCAGGTGGACCCTCCCTCCCGTTGCATGAGGGGAGCTGGTCAGCTGGCGACCCAGGGGGGTGAACCTTGTGGGGCATCCTCCCCAGAGCTGGGGGTCTCCTGCCCCCTGGCAGCCTTCTGCAAGCACTGGGACCCGCCCACAGCACTCACATGGGAGGCACCAGTTCTGTGTCTGGGAACCATTTGCCCCGCCCCCCAGGCCCCGACGGGCCCTGATCTCGGTCACTGTGTGTCTGGGCAGCGCCCGGCCCGATAGGGCCCTGATCTCGTTCAGCTGGGGGCTGGGCGGCGCCCGGCCCGACAGGGCCCCGATCTCACGGAAAAAAAAAATAACAAGGAAGAAAAAAAAAAATGGAGCCCCAGGGAGCAGGCAGACAGAGGTTCTTATGTGCTTTTGGATGAATCCATTGACCTTGGCGACCCACCTCAGCTGGGTACTCGGGGGTTTTCCTCCTGCCTGACCCTCGCCAGCTTGTTCCACCCCCTTCTCGTACCCCCTGCTTCATGAGCACACATGGCACTTCTGTGTAGCTGGGTCCTTTTATGGTCCCCATTGCCATGGCAACTGTGCGCACTCATCACCATGGTAACTGAGCACCTGGTCTTCCCAGCTCCCCATTTTACAGATGGGCAAGTGCCGTGCCTCAGTTTCCTCCAGGTTACACAGGAGAGTCACCTTTGTTGCCACAAGGCTGGAGGGTGAGCAACAGGCCCAGATGGAAAGATGAGAGCTTGTGAGTTCTGGGTGTGCGCTTACAAATTATTTTTGTATAAGGAGAGATATCTGCGCAGGTGCCATTGGCCAAAAATCTGCCACACCCCTGTGCTATGCAGTCCTCTGCTCCAGAGGTGGTTGCCTTTGGCTGCTGCTGCTGAGAGCCATGGGCACAGCTTGTGACTATATTTGAGACCCATTGGGCTCTGGGGAGAGATTGGGGTGCAGAGCTGCTGGGGAATTGCAGGAGAGAAATCACAGAAGATGCTCCAATCCAGGGGTGCACCCCACCCCCATTGGCTGCCATGGGGGCATAGCACATGAGTCTGTTCTGTCCTGAATCGGGGCCTCCCAAGTAAGGGTGTCCCTGCACCCAGACATGGGGACTGCCCCAAGCATGGTCTGCGGGATGAAATTATTCACGGAACTACGGTAGCACCCGCAGGTCCCAGGCAAGTCTGGAGCCACGTGGTGCCAGGTGCTGCACGCACATACAAGGGGGAAGGGAAACTGAGGCATAGAGCGTTGCAGTGAGATGCCAAACGGGTCCATAGCAGAGACCCCCCCCCCGAGTTCTAAGAGCCAGAGCAGGGGCTGGGAGCCAGGATGCCTGAGTTCTAACCCCAGCTCAGCGAGGGGAGTGGGGTCTAGCGGTTAGAGCGGGGGGGGCGGGGCGCCAGGACGCCTGAGTTCTATCCCTAGCTCAGTGAGGGGAGTGGGGCCTAGCGGTTAGAGCAGGGAGGCTGGGAGCCAAGATGCCTGAGTTCTAACCCCAGCTCAGCGAGGGGAGTGGGGTCTAGCGGTTAGAGCGGGGGGGGCGGGGCGCCAGGACGCCTGAGTTCTATCCCTAGCTCAGCGAGGGGAGTGGGGTCTAGCGGTTAGAGCAGGGAGGCTGGGAGCCAGGACGCCTGGGCTCTGCCCCCAGCTTTGGCAGGGGAGTGAAACCAGGATGCAGACAAAGCGCTGGCTCTAAATGCTCCTGCGAGGTTGGCCGGCAATAAAGACTCAGGCCCTGAGTGCACGACGGGTCCTTTGGCCCCCGAGGCAGCTGTCCCCCTCCCCTCCCAGGCCACCCCCTGGGCCTGTGGCGAGTCCCCCCTTGTGTCCCGGGGGATCAAAGTTAATTGTGTCTGGCACTTGGGCAGGGGATTAGCGACTCGCTGCCAGCCGGGCAGGCTGTCTTCCCCAAAGTCACCTCATGCCGAGTCCACCTCCGACCCCCTTGGCCTGCCGCACTCCCGGGATTAGGGGGTGAAATATAGACACTGACAGCTGACATCACGGCAGCCCTGCCTTAAATCGGCCCCATTTCGGGGCCCTCTTCCTCTTCCAGCCTTTCCCCTGCTCTTCCTGCCCTCCGGCCAGCTCTCGCCTCCCGGTGCCCAGCACAGCCAGGTGAGCCGGGCCGCGGGCCGGACCTTTGGGGGTGCGTGTGGTGGGGAGGCGGGATGGTTTGCTGCTGATCCCGATTTAGCGGGCGGGGGAGGGGCCAGCGCTTGATAAAACGATATCGAACGATGGAAAGTCCGTCCGTTTGCCGTGCCGCGGGGCTGGCTGCGGCGTGCGGCCTGGGCCCCCTGCTGCCTGCAGGAGTCCGGAGGTGGGGGTGCTTTGGGGGAAAGGGGCAGAGGGATGGGAGTTTCTTGGTAGATCCCAGCGGGCAGGGCCGGCAGGGCGCGGAGCCATGGGCGTTGTGGCCGTGCCGGGGACCGAGTTTTAAAGTCCTTGTGCGAGGTGCTCTCGGGACTCTTCGTGATTTGTGGCATCTCTGGAGCGGGTGCCGGGGACGAGGCATGTCCCTGAGAGCTCCAGAGAGGGACACGACCGGTCACGAGAGCGCTGGACACTGTTAAAATCACACCGGGCTGACACCGAAGCCCGTGCACCGGAGCGCTCGTGTCCATCAGTCTGTGGCAGAGCCAGCGACAAAGAGGGTTAGAAATCTCTGCCGGGCAGGCTGGCTCCCTCTGGGTCTGTTCTCAATAGCGAGCCACTTCCACCGGCAGACCGACAGGCATTGAAAACCCTGCAGCCACGTGGCATAGTTCAGAGCGGACCAGGAGCGTGGGTTAGCTGGTGTGGACCACACGTTGTGTTCCTCCCGGCGTTGCGCTTGGGTGGCCAACGGCGAGGGGGGTGTGTGTCTCCTGCTGGTGCACATCCACATATGTCTTGGTGCACGTAACAAAATTCATTCTGCACAGCGATGGGGGGGAAAATCCGCCCATGGATGGAAGAGAGGAGAGGGAACCGGGGTTCTTACCATGGAGCTGTGACTTATAGGACAGCGCTGCCCGTGTGTCCGGTGATGGAAACAGCAGGTGGAAAAGTCCATCCCTGCCTGGAGTCTTGTTAGTGACAGAGATGCAATTAGCCAGCCTGTCTTTCGGGGGGCCACAGAGCACAAGGCAGCGCCCCCCTGTCCTTCCCCTGGCTCCTGGATGTGCCACCTTGGTGTTAGTTCCGGGGGCCGCCAGCAGGAGTCGCCCTGCCAGGGGTGCAGATGGCTTCCTAACCCATCTCCCTGGGGGGCCGCCAGGCTCAGACTTCTGACCCAGCCCCAGGCTTTGGCCCACAGGGCTTTGGGTCCAGCCTGGGGCTCACTCACCTCCTGTCCCCTTCTCATCTCTGCCTCCCTGGGCTCCCCAAAAAGGCCTCTGATCCAGAGAACCTGCTACCTTGGATGCCCCAGCCAGGACCCTGCACGCTGCCAACGCGGGAGGGGATTCAAATCCCCAGCTGTCAAAGTCCAGCTGCACGGACGTCCCTGGCAGGCCGAATTCTCCCTCTCTCTGGGCTCTGGGGGGTGGTCACAAGGCCACGCGGGCGGGCAAGGGCACAGGGCCGTGGGCGGGCGTCGGCGCACGGCCCGGGGGAATGACTACACAGGGGACGGGAGGGAGGCGTCGTTCGCCAGGGCTCTGACGGCGTCTCCCAAGGGGCTGGGCGTGCTGGTGCTTTGGATCCAGCCGGGCTCAGCCACCCAAGGGGAAAACAAAGGGAGGCTTCTACAGAAGCAGCAAAGGACGCCGACGGAGCCAAGCAAATGGCTCCTCGTCTGCCCCGCTCATGCTAGTCTCGCGAGAGGCCCCCTGTGGTTTCACGGGTTCTCTGGAGAGCCCCAAGGGGGTCAGCAGGAGCCGGGGGCTCTGTATGGCCCCGCTCACACACCCACGCCTTGCACCGCTGGGTACCACCACCCACGGCAAGAAGCTGAAGAGGAGAAGCCAAGATCAGAGGCGGAGCAGCTCCTGTCTCCGAGAGTTTGCCTGTGTCCATATAAAATTCTTTTCAAGCCAAAGGAAACCAGAGACGTGTGAAACGGTGTGCAATTAGGTGAGCGCCTTCGTCTTGTGCGTTGCCGCTCTGTCTCCACCTACGGGCTTGTAAGTTTCTTGGGGCAGAGACTGTCTCTTTCTCCATGTGCCTGACGCAACAGGGCCCAGGCCTCCAGACACAACAACCAAACTCCCCCAGGATACCCAGACCACCCCTTTACACTCTTTGGCCTTTGCATTTGCCTAGCTGCAAAATGAAACCTTAATCTATTGCAACCCCCGTTGACTGGCAGATAAAGCTAGGGGGAGACTGTGCGGGAGAGTAGCCTATTCCCTCTGTCTCTGCTAGTGAACTGCATGGAAATGAATCCAGCCTTCTCCTGGAATTGTATTTTTGCCTCTAAGCTTCTTAGGAGAGTAATTTCAGCCAAACGAGACGAGCGCTCGTGAATGAAACGTGTGGACCCTGTCTCTGCTCTCTCATCAGCTTGTTCAAAAGATTGTTAATCTCTAGTGACAATCTCTGCTTTCGCTGCCTTTGCAGTGTCTCCGTTTGGTTATTTGTTTCTAGGCATATTAAAAAAAAGATTGAGGAAAGGGAAGGAGGAGGGGGGAAGGATCGTATCTTCTTTGAGCAGGTACAGCTCTGTAGAAAGGAGCTGGTCTCCTCTGCCTCTCGCAATTGGGATGGTCAAGATTAGAGACTGGAGCTTCAGGGAGTAGCCGAGTGAGTCTGTTACAGAACAAAACAACCAATGGTCTGGTGGCACTTTATAGACTCACGAAACATAGAGATGCAATTCAAATGGGAAAGGCTCCTTTTGAAAGGCACGCAATGCGTCGGCTAAAAGCCGTGTCAATAGATAGCAAAGAGATCTTCCTGCCCTGAAAGCCAAGACCGGTTTTAAAAACGGGAGCTTTCGTTCTTTTAATAGGACGCTTTGGTTGGTTGTTTTGATTTACATGGGTTTAAACATTAGGGGAAGGAACACAGAAGCGACATCATAAAACTGCTGACTGCCGTCTAAACCATCCCATGCAAACTGCATTAGCCTAAATGTAATAGAAAGAACGTGCATGTTTGCGTGTACGTTACTGACCTCTGTTGAACGGTTTTAAGCTAAGGACCCTGTAACCTCAAATACCAGGTTGCTGCTCTTACAAAACAACCGTGTATTTATTTGTCTCTCGCTTTGGCGTGCGAGGTTTATCTTTAATGAGGAGATTTGTGATCTTTTAAAAGCGATGGGTTGGAGTTAGTGAAATAGGAGGCCAGGGTCCTACAAAGATGTCTGCCTACCTCTGTTGAACGGTTTTAAGCTAAGGACCCTGTAACCTCAAATACCAGGTTGCTGCTCTTACAAAACAACCGTGTATTTATTTGTCTCTCGCTTTGGCGTGCGAGGTTTATCTTTAATGAGGAGATTTGTGATCTTTTAAAAGCGATGGGTTGGAGTTAGTGAAATAGGAGGCCAGGGTCCTACAAAGATGTCTGCCTACAGCTAATTTGTTTGGGATATTTAAAAAAGAAATTAGATGTATTATCTCTGAGCGGTAGATTGGCAGTTTCCAGAGGAAACAGTATCCCGCCACTACCATGCAGTGTCGTCCCATTTTTTTAAAAAAAGTTCTACCTGTTGAAATGGGAAAATAAATGAGGAGTTAAAATCCAACACAGCTGCACTGAGTGGTGTTTCCGTTTGCTAGTCTTGGTCACAAACTGCCCCATCCCCATCAAAGCCAATTTCAAGCCAAAGTCTCAGGTGAAACTTTACAAGACAACTCCCCATTGCAGACGTGCACCTTCCCTTTGCTATTTTCTCCCTCCAGGAGGAAAGCAAGGCCCCCCGCCCCCGAGCCCTCTGAGAAAAGCAATTCCCCCTGGATAGTAATCCGCAAGAGGGCTGTTGTCATAATTCCTATCATGTGAGATTCTTAAGGCAACACTGAGAATGGACCTCGCTCACACACAAAATTGTTTGGAGCAAACGCTCCCCCACTCCTGGGGCTTAGAGGAGAAAATCCCAAATCTTCAGATCTGAAAGCGCAGCGAGAGAGGGAGCAGAAAAGTCTGCCGAATTGCCTGCACCACTCTAAAGCTGCTCTCTGATTCAGGTTAAGCTTCTCTTTTTATTGCAGATTATACAGATCGGCTCCTCCAGCTCTTCTCCGTTATCCTTTTAACACATTTTGCTCTTTCTCGCTGCTTTTTTGGGGGGTGGCGTGGCAGGGGTTTGCTAAAGATGGGCACATCCTCCAGCTGCAAACTGGTTTCTGTTATGTTTTCTTCCAGCGCCTCCCGGCCCTGTTCAGTCTGGACCCTTTGGAAAGTCCTTCGCCCCGGCAAAAAGGTAAGAAGTCATCTGGTAAAGGAGGGTGGGGATTTTTTCTCCCTCCGGAGCAGAATTTACAACTCCAGACCTAACCTGGGATACCATCCCAGCACTTCTGAAACTGGCTGGGGCAAAAATTAAAATCCCCCAAGAAAATCTGACAACTAACTTTCTTGGCATTTCCAAGGTAAGGAGAGTTCCCAAAGAAAACTACACAACCACCGCACACGTGTCCATCCTCCTTATTTCTGCCAGCCGACAGGGTGGATGTAAAACAAGGCTCTCCTCTTTGGTGTATTCTGCTTTCTTGACTTGCTTTTATACATTCTCAGTAAGAAAGCCATTTTAAAATAGAGTATCCCTTATAGCGGGTTTGTCTATTGGAATCTTAAGTCAGATGTTACGAAAAGTATCTATGGAGACCGATTTTTTTAAATGCCCTAACAGCCGTGCAACATTCTCTGGGATTGGGGATTTTTCAACAGAGAGGTTTTAAAAACTGCACTATTCATGCTTTTGTGATTCTTAGTAATTTAATCTTTGCTGTATCCTGATGCAAAGATTGTAAATTGGCAGGGGGCAAGATGGCTTAAAATGGCACAAAAATATTGAATTGACAAGGATGTTTTTGAGCAAATGGAAGAAAAAATTGTGATTTAAAAAAAAAAATCTATTTTTTCCCCTCCAGATTTAAACATCAGATTACTAGGAATCTAATCAGATTTTTTACAGGCATCTTAAACAATGTTGTTCCTGTAATTATACTGACAAAGTAATAAAGGAGAAATTCCTACTGGTTTGAAGGAGCTAAGGTTTGATTAGAGAACAGCAGATTTTTTTTGTAGGGTGATCTATCGTATTCACACAACCTGGGCAATTTGACCCACTGTGAACAAACCTTTTTAACTGCCAGGGTGGTGAAACACTGAAATAATTTGCGTAGGGCGGTTGTGAAATCTCCATCACTGGAGATATTGAAGAGCAGGTTAGATAAAAGAATTCTATCAGGAATTTTACCCCTCAAAAGCTCATGCTGCCTATCTATGATTTGTAATAATATTCTACAGGTCAGCTCAATTATTTCGTTTGCTTCCTGACCATGTCTCTCGCTTTTTATTCATTTAAAAATAATTATAGAAACCCAGAGAATAAACTGCAATATCTATATATTGAACATAAACAATCCTGATGATTGTCTAATAATATTGTGTGTGTAGCTATATATACAGATTGAGATCCATCTCTAGAGAGAAAATACATTCGTACATTTCAGGATCAAATCCCAGCGATTCATGGCTTGTTTTGGATCAGAAAGAAGCTTAATGCTAAGCAAGCATTTCCGCTACATCACTGCCAAAAGTTCTTCTACTCAGCTATTCCCCTGGACAGCCCCTGAAGGAGGGAAGCCTGATTTCCCAATTACTATTATGGACTTTAATTCACACTCATTTTGTAAAATCCTCAAAACCTCTTCCACATGCTTTGAGCTGTTTGAAGGGAGTTTTCAACACTCAACACCAGGTTTCCCTGCCTGGACATTCTGCAAAACTCCCTTTTAAATCCCTCTCAGGGCTTCCCCACATTGTTTAGAGTGGACTTTGTTGATTTGTCAGCGAAGTCACCAGAATGATTTGTATGAACGATTGGGAAGAAAAAACCTTGAAACTGGTTCCATTTTAGGGGAGGGGGATTTATAAAGACACTCACCTCAGCGCAGATGCTGGCGTTTCAGATCTGAGCGCTACTGATGCTAAGTGCTGCATAAGCACCAGGTAGCAACAATAATTCATAACTCAGGGTCACGTTTTCAATGGTACCCAAGTGACTTTGACTTTGGGGGCCCTTTTAAAAATACCGGACTTTATATTCCCCTATTACTTAAGCGCTTCTGCCAACTTTACCCTACATTTGTCGGCCAAAAGGAAAAAAAAAATGGTTCTTAAAAATACATTCCAAGGCATGTTAAGAACATCAGAGGGGCCAGACTGGGTCAGAGCAAAGGTCCATCCATCCCAGTGTCCTGTCTGCCCCAGAGGGAGGGAACACAACAGGGAATCTAGTGATCCAAAGTGAGTTTTCCCCGTAAATTAACACCCCAATTTGCTCTAAAAGGCTCTTTCTGGATTTCCCTCCTCCACTGGGCTCTGGTTTTGATTTACTGTGTGTGGTGTGGCGGGGGTTGTTTTTCTGCTCAGATGGGTGTTTCTCCTGGTCTGATCTTGGAAATGCAAAAATTCCTCCATGTCCTGTTTGCACATTTCTTGCCGCTTTAGAGGCAGCCGGAGCTGAAGGCTGGGTAGCAAGGTGCTAATGAGTTGCTAAGTGTCAGTCTAGCGGTTCCTTCCCCGCCTGCCTTCCACTTGTTTGCAAGAACCCTCAGACACCTACTAGTGCCAGAGGGCGGCCGCCTGCGATCAAGGGGCAGTGCTGGGAGGAAGTTTGGTTTAATCCTCATTGGTTTTTTA